GGCTGAATTAGGGTTGTGTGACGGGTTGGATCACAGAAACCCCACAGAAACTGCCAACTGATGTGCCAAGATTACTTCTGCCCCTGCTTTCCCTGCCAGCTTGAGACTTCAGCACCCTGTCTTGATGAGCCAGACATGCCAGTCTGCTCCAACATAGACCCAGGGTCTGAACCACGTGCCCCAAAGATGCAGACTTAACTGAAAGCAACTTAAGAAGTGTTCCTGTCTTTAACACTCAGATGCCCAACTTCCAATGGGGTCCAAACCCCAAATAAATCCGTTTTACCCTGTATAAGCTTTATACTCATAAATTGTTCACCTTCTATAACACTGATAGAGAGATATGCACAGCTGTTTGCCCCCCCCCCCAGGTATTAATACATACTCTGGGTTAATTAATAAGTAAAAAGTGATTTTATTAAATACAGAAGTAGGATTTAAGTGGTTCTAAGTAGTAACAGACAGAACAAAGTGAATTACCAAGTAAAATAAAATAAAACCTGCAAGTCTAAGCCTAATGCTGTAATAAAACTGAAATACAGGTAAAAATCTCACCCTCAGAGATGTTTCAACAAGTTTATTTCACAGACTGGACGCCTTCCTAGTCTGGGCACAATCCTTTCCCCTGGTACAGCCTTTGTTCCAGCTCAGGTGGTAGCTAGAGGATTCCTCATGACTGCAGCCCCCTTTGTTCTGTTCCACCCACTTGTATATCTTTCGCATAAGGTGGGAATCCTTTGTCCCTCTGGGTTCCCACCCCTCCTTCTCAATGGAAAAGCACCAGGTTAAAGATGGATTCCAGTTCAGGTGACATGATCAGATGTCACTGTAAGACTTCATTACCCACTTGCCGGCACACAGGAAGACCTGCAAGTAAAACAGAGCCGTCTACAGTCAATTGTCCTGGTTAATGGGAGCCATCAAGGTTCCAAACCACTATTAATGGCCCACACTTTGCATAATTACAATAGGCCCTCAGAGTTATATTTCCTATTTCTAGTTTCAGATACAAGAGTGATACATTTATACAAATAGGATGACCACACTCAGTAGATTACAAGAGCCCTTTTGCATGATGCATACTTTAGTTACATTATATTCACACTCATCAGCATACTTTCATAAAATCATATAGAGTGCAACGTCGCAGGTTGCTTGGCTGATAGTAAATTATTAATCCACTTAATCGCAGTTTAACAAAGATGGAAGCTTAGTGTTCAGTACATGCACAGAAATGTCCTATACCAAAGTGTTGAAAGCACACGGGGCTTCTGTTTTCTTTTTCTTTCAGGAAAATCTTTCCCCTTTTGCCCCCTTGCGTCAGTGTAATATTGTGTTTGTCCAGAGATGCAGAGAAGGCTCTACTGACAAAAATGTAAAGTCTGACCAGATTCAACTGGCTTCCCTCTGGGAGTTGCCTCTGAGGAAAAAGCTTGAATGTGGGTATTGCAAAGCTCAGGGTGGGTTTTGTAATGTATCATTCTAAGAGCCACCTGTAGTGTGTAACCCTTCACTCTTACACTGTGCATATATTTCAGATCCCTACAGCATGGGTCCGGTTCTCAAGCAGCCCTGATGGCTCTCTGATGGTGATGGTTAATTATACAAATACTTGTTGAGCACGTGAGGTTTCCTACGGGAACTTACTGTTCAATTATTCCCAGGTGCAAGTAAACTTGTAACAGGTTTAAACTTGGTTTATTGACTAAGCATAAAAAAAATGAAACAAATGCCATGGATTATTGACTGTTTATAGGACTGAATTAAGACTATGTGGTGACACCTGATGTTCTCAGTGTTATGCCAAAATCCAGCACTGTGATCACTAGTCTATGCATCAGGAGGTAGCCGTGTTAGTCTGTATCCACAAAAACAATAAGGAATCCGGTGGCACCTTAAAGACTAACAGATTCAAGTCTAGCTAGTCTATGCAGTGATTTTAAATCAGCCTGCACTTTTTTGAGAGGTGCCTTGTGGATGACAAAATGATGAAAAAAAAAACGCATTTATTGGGGGCTGTGTTTTACTGACGCACAGAGGAGTTGACAGGAATTAATATTTGATTAGATCTTGCTTCTGAAGCTCTCCCCACATATCCTGTAGATAGTGCTGAACTGTGAGGTTCATATCAGACTTATCTGCTCTCTGGCTGTTTTCTTGGGGGTTTACTGAACTCTGTAGCTGAATGGTACACGGGGGAAGTTTATCATCTCACAATCAAAGTGATGCTGTAGCTCTTATTCACTGTGTTCTAGCTCTTTTATAAGGTCCCCCCAATACTATATTTACATCTGAATTCTGATTAATAGGAAGAAATGTGCTGAACAGCTCAACAATTGGATAAGGAAATGTGTGTGTTTAAAATAGTAATTAAGTAATATTTATTGAAGTTGCATTACAACATCAGATTATTTAAATCTCTAATATAATTCTTCTTTCCTCCAAGTGTGTCTATACCAGCCTCCTCTACTATATGGGACATAAGTGCTGCTCGGCTGTAATGTCTTTCTCCTCCTTAAAACTGATTTCTGTTCCTTATGTCCATCTGTACTGATCTCTCAGTATTTTCCTTTATCTGAACCATTGTCCTGGTTGTCACTTGTCTGTGTTAGGTTGTAAGGGCTCTGGATCGGGGCTGTATCTTTGTATGGACTGTGAAGCACGCTGTCGCTTTCCAAAGCCAAATACAGTAAATGCGGAATAGTAAATGTCTCCCTCTAGTGGCTGTAGCCTAGAGGTGCTAAAAACCCAATATGGCTACACAAGAGTGAATGTTTTGCAGGTTACCTCTAAGATAATAGATATTGTTATTGACATATTGATCCCATCAGAATATGACATTGGCGAGAGAGAGAGATGAGACCATGCTTATTTGAATTGTCCTATAAAAACAGGGAATTACATCACCCAGGTTCCCAATTAGGTTTCAGTGTGTCTATTGTGCAAACAAGCTTGGGGCAAGAAGGCCAGTAGTGTGTGTGTGGGGGGAGGGATTCTTAACCTCTCTTCCATGTGTGTGCACTACAGGCAATTGCATTTAGTGACTTGAAAGCCCACAAGGTTGTGCTTTTCCAGCCCAACAATTTTTTTTTTCATCTGCTGCGTGTTTTGCACCTGACTGTGCCTCTTTAGGCACTGAATTTCTGTAGAACAACTGAATCTGACCCTGGTGAAAGTGGCCCAGCTGTATGCAAAGTGCTGCTGAGTGTAGCAACCGGGTACAGGCGTCAAAGGAGCAGCCAGCGCCCATTCTTAGAAGGCACAGAGTTGAATTTGACAACGTTCAGTTTAAAAAGCCTCAAGCTGCTATTGCGAAAGCTGTAAAAATCATCCGCCCAGGGAGGGGTGTTGCTGGTCTTTACACTGACAGCTGATAGAGCAGGGGTAGGCAACCTATGGCACGCGTGCCGAAGGCGGCACGTGAACTGATTTTCAGTGGTGCTCACACTGCCCGGGTCCTGGCCACTGGTTGGGGGGGGGGGGGGGCTCTGCATTTTAAATTAAACTTCTTAAACATTTTGAAACCTTATTTACTTTACATACAACCATAGTTTAGTTATATATTATAGACTTATAGAGAGAGACCTTCTAAAAACATTGAAATGTATGACTGGCACGCGCAACCTTCAATTAAAGTGACTAAACGAAGACTCGGCACACCACTTCTGAAAGGTCGCCGACCCCTGTGATAGTGTTTGGCTCTCGCTCTGGCAGCATCAGTGTTCCTAGTCCTTGTGCCTGGATCCTGACACTTTCAGACACATTCTTATGCGTCCGCTGTCCGTTCCACAGGCTCCAGGTACTGCCGCACTGATTGTGTTTAACAAAAGGAGGAGGTGGGTTTTGAACAGGTCCCTTTGACTCCTGTTCTTTGCTTTCGCCCTAAACGTCTCCTTTTTCTTAGGGCTTGAGAGGCAGAGAGCCATTGCCCGGGCCACCAACCCTCACAATGTTATCACTGGGGTGGCACTATGTGGTGCTGCCAGAAAACACAGGCAGCGCTGGAATTTGGCCAGCACCGCCTACAGTTCCTCTTTCAGCAGTCAGGCGCCACTTTACAAGCGGAGCTATATGGGGGTGTTCCTGCCCCTGCCCCCCCTCTTCCTTTCCCAAAGCTCAGCTGTTGCACTGTAGACTCACCGCAAGCAGTTTTAATGGAGGTAAGTTCCCAGGGCAGCCCTGTCCCTTGGAGATGGGCCAGTTTTCGGGGAAGCGAGTGGTGAGAAGCAGGAGCACAGAGGACCTGGGGCCAGAGGACGTGTGGGCTAGTGGAAGAGCACTGGACTGGAACTCAATAGACCTGAGTTATAATCCCGGCTCTGTCACTGGACTGTGTGTGACCTTGGGCAAGTGACTCTGGCTCTGCCTCAGTTTCCCCATCTGTAAAATGGGGCTACAACAATACTTCACGCTGTAAAGCGCGTTGAGAGCTGTTGATTAAAAGGGTTATATGAGAGCTAGGATATTAGTTATTATGATCATTTATATGCATTTAAGGTTGAATGTTCAGCCTGTAATCACCCCACACAAGCTGAGCATCGTTAGGGGCGTTAACCAGAAGACTGGCCAAAACTACAATTAATATTTTGGCCCCAAAATAATGAGAGCTCTTGTAATGTTATGATTTTTAGGTTTCTGACTCATGATTTTTGAGCTGGGCGGGGGGGGGAGGGGGTTGTCTGTCTGGCATTGTTCTAGGGCAGTGTGCAACTGGAGCTGTGTCTAACTTTAACTTGTTATGAAACAGTCTAAATTGTCTGTGCCATACAATCTGTTCAATACAATGCACATACATTGTATTGAACAGTGTGTGGGGGTATTTATTTAGTCCACCCATTAACAGTGTCTCTTTTCATAGACTTTGTAATGAAAATCTAGACGCATGGTGGCTATTTTTAGAACGCCCTTAGTTCCAAACCAGGTAATGCATGGAGTAGTGTAATGAGTGTAACATGCACTATACAGCTGTCAATGTTCCCTTCTTTGCTTTCTTCTTCCAGCCTATTTTGCGCTGCAGGTGATCTATGCCAGACGGAAGTACAAAGTCTCCCCCCCGGATACAGCCGGCCCACCAGAATTTGAGAGAGTCTTCAGAGCTCAGTAAGAGATTGTTTCCTTAACGCGCTGTGTTTACACCTCAACCGAGGCTAGAGCCAGGCGCTATGTCCAACCTCCACAGATCCTTGCTGATGTCTAGCAAAGTTATGAATTTAAGCTCCCGGGCTCATCTTTTGAAGGGGTCATGCAGGTTTCCTTTGAGGTGTAACAGAAACATTTATTTTGAGCTGTTACATGCCAGCTCATTAAGTTAATTCTGTCCAGTCTGTGTTCCCGTTTGCTCTGTTGTGTGAAGGGGTGCAAGGTAAGGGACAGCTTATCTGTAAGAACCCTGAGGCCCTGCCTTTTTTAAATCTCTGCACTTTGAGGGGGGTCAGTGTGGGTGCACCCACCCTGGTGCACCCACCCTGACCGCTGAATCAGTGCTATGCCTGAGGAAAGACACGAGGCCTTGGATCGTGCTCAGGTCCGTCACACTGCTAACGAACATGGGACTCCGTTGTTTCTCCAGTCAAAAGGGGAGAGGAAGAATTTGCTCATTTTAGCTACGTTCTGCCTCTTATTTCAACAAGGCATTAAAAGAAATGGGCTGCGATGTTTGATGACAATTGGAAGGCTAGTTTCAATACAACAGTAAATTTTGAATAGATAATATGCTGTATTTCCTCACCCAGCGAACAGTAAATGTTTGGACTGTCCCAAATGCTCACTTGAGTTCGTTTAAGACACACGGAAATGCCACCACGTGTGAAATGCAACAGCCAATTCCAGCCCACAAACCTCTTTGTTTAATTCTGTGCATGGCAGAAGATATAAGGCTGAGAATCTCTATTGCATCTTTTGTGGGGGAGGTGATGTGATCACGGGGAAGGTCATTTCTGTGGAAATTGAGTCTGATGGATGAGATGCTTTGATGTTTTTAAAAACACAGATTTATTACTTCATAGTGGAAAACTGGCAGCCTCTCTCTAGCTAAGGGTTTACAGGCACATGCTTTATAAAATTTGCAGCACTCCTGTTTCTGACTCAAATTTGGCATATCCCCTAGGGCCAGAGGAGACTATTTTGGCCAAATTTTAGATGAGTTGTCCATGGAATTGTAAAACTTTTCACATTTGGAAGAGGCTCCGTGTACTTCTTTGCAGAAGATTTAATGCCTTTTGCCATTTAAAAAAAAAATGGAGCTGGAGGTTTTCTTCCCCATTGCTGCTTGACGAATGCCAGGACGCTCCTTTGGGGATGCTGGGGACTTTTAAGGTTGAGCAAAAGTTTGACTCAGCACAGTAGCGTGACACAGAGCAGTTCTTAAACACCTACAACTTTATGCTTTAGGTGATTGTGTAATTTCCTGTTACTAACTTAAAGGGGGAATACCTTACACATGTTTAATTCCGGCTCTGATGCAGAAAGCCTGTGGTTTGGGGCAAATGACATGACCTCTGGGTACGTCTCTGAAGAGGAGATTATGCCACTTCCACTCCGGACTGGTGGGAGATGCTAATTTTGGCCAAGTGTTCAGAAGATTGTAAGCACTGCAAATATTGGTTTCCCTAGCCTGTGCTGCATATTTGCCCTACAATGCCGAAAGGGGGCCCATTGCCCACAATGCCACAAACTCATCCTGCCCACTTGTGACAAAATATATCTTTGAAACTGAATTGCTAAATGCACTGCCCTGGGAGGGGGTTTATATGGGAGTTTGCTTTTTGTAGTGATGCAGTTTTAACTTTCTCTTCTCTGGTTCTCCTTAGGGCGAACTGCTCCGAATACTTTCCAATCTTTGTGTCTGTCCTATGGGTGGCTGGAATCTTCTTCCAACAAGGTAAAATAATTTAAAAAATCCCACCAAAATCGAGACACTTGATTGGGTTTATAACATTGGTGCACTTACATCAAACTGTTGCTAGCTAATTGCTGGAAGCAAGCAGCCTCCTGGAGCTCAAGGATGTGCTGTTTCAACATGGGGAAAGAGGAGAAATAGGCCAGACTTAAATGAACCTCAGTTGGTTTGGGCAGCTACATTTTAACACTGAAAAGCTGACATGCCAACCTGTTGATAATATATGGAGGTATTTGTCCCTTTCCCAAGGGAGACATTTACATAATTGCATTATGGCTAGTTAGTGCTTCTAGCCTTTAGAGATGAACTAGTCCAGTCTGCCTCCTACTCCTCAACCTGCTAACTTTGCTTATATTTGGCCCCGACGTGCAGTAGTTCCTAAATGTCTCAGGCACTATACTACTATTCATTTATTTCTCCTAAAGAGGGAGGGGTGTGGAAATATGGCTTGTAGCCTGGGGAAAAAGCCATGATTACCCCTCCCTGAAGGGGTGGCAGAAGCTTCCTTGGCCTCCCCCCCCTCCAAGCCCCAGGCCCTGAGCCACCCCTTCCCCTGGGGCCCTGCTCCCACACCACCTCTTCCCCCAGGCCCTGCCCCCTTTCACTTGTCCTTATGGCCAGTAAGCAGGGGGAGGGCAATGGGCCCCTGCCTCCCAGGCAACACTGGATGCAGTGGTCAGGTGTGTCACTGTCAATTTGTAATTTTGATTTTGCTGAATTGTTCTCTTCCAATTACTTGTCGGACGTTGTACCCCTGCCTTCAGACTCTGTCAGTGAAACAGTTGGGGCACTGCCCCCTGGTAACAATTTTGGTTCTTGGCTTCACATCTAGGTGTGGCTGCAGTCTGTGGGCTACTCTACTTGTACGCTCGGTACCAGTACTTCCAGGGATATACGCTGTCTGCTCATGGAAGGTGAGTAAGTAGCCAGGCCTGAAATCGTGTGAGTGAAAGTGCCCAACAAGTAGCCTGCCTTATACACATTAAAATCAGTGGGAGTCAGGTGCCAAAATACCTGTGAGGAGGATCTGAGCTTGTATCCTTACCCGCTTTGCTGTTAGAAACCCACTGCTGCTATTAATTTTTCCCTGCCACCCATGGCAACAGCACCATGAATGGAGATATATCCTATCTCCTAGAACTGGAAGGGACCTTGAAAGGTCATTGAGTCCAGCCCCCTGCCTTCACTAGCAGGACCAAGTACTGATTTTGCCCCAGATCCCTAAGTGGCCCCCTCAAGGATTGAACTCTCAATGCTGCATTGAGCAGGCCAATGTTCAAACCACTGAGCTATCCCTCCCCCTAATGTGTTACCAGTTCATCACGTGGGTCTAAACCAAAGTGCAGGAGTCTTCTGCACTGGAGTGTAACAATGGGCAGTGCAGTTCCTCTAAATGAAGCGTACATCTTTCCTCAGGAATGCTCGCAGTCCATAAAACTCCATCTGCACGAGAGGCTGACTCCATGGTGCTTAACAATAACTGTAGCCAGCTGGCTTTATTGCTTTAAACACGCTGCTGCTGCAGGTTACTAGTTTGAGAAGAAGGTTAGAACAAAGTAATTGCATTCTGTACTGGCTGAAGATATTTAAGCGGGCTGAAGACAACACAAAGTTTTCTGTTAAATAATTGCCTGGCCCAGCCTCTCAATGGCTTACTGAGGTTGTGTGTCCCACCTTGTCAAGCCGGCTGTTCTGGCATGCGGCATCTTCAGTGTCACAACCACATATGCAAAAGCGGTGGTCTTACTATTGGTCAGTGGCGAAGACGCCTTGCTCGGCTGCACAGAACTGAAAATAAATACAGTCGCTTCAAAAAAACCTGGATTTTTGAGGGCGGAAGATGGCTGTTTGCAAAGCCTGTTATAGACCCGGCTTGTTTTATATATATAAAAAAAATCATTCCTGTCAGAGGAGGTCATTGTTCTCTTTTAATTAATGTGTTAAGGCTGCAGTAGCAATAGCCCAGGGTTGACTATCCTCAAGTTAACTTTGTTTTCTCCTCACACAGATTGGGGCCCATGTACTTCAGTGCCAAAGTTCTGTGGATTTTGATTGGTTTGTCCGTGGCTGGGCTTTTGGTTCACTTCCTGTCTCTGAATTCTTTTGTGGGGAGAATGGAAATTCCAAGCAAACTGCAACTGCTCTTCCGGTGGTAAACAGCCCCTGTGACTGCTGAGTTGCGCGTTTAGCTCAGCATCTCCTACAGCTCCTCCAGGCTGATAAGAATTTATCCTTCACTTTCTCCACACTAAAGCAGTTCAAAATAGAGCTAAAAAGCACCAGCTTGCTGTGGTTGAAGAGATCTAAAATACTCCCAAACTTATCTTCAGCCACTTGTCCCCTGCATCAATTCTCTTCCTTGAATGATGGGGAAGAGGGAGAAAGTGGTTCTCTCCCTCTCCCCACCCCAAGTTATACACAGCAAGTTCCACGTATCAGGAAACAGTTTTAATCGCAAGTGGAGAATAGAGCAACGCTACATTAATTTCCCTCATTCGGCTTTTAAAACGCCTTCTCTTCCCCCACTAAAAGTTGTGCATATGTATGTAGAAAAGCACAGGCTTGCTAGAGAAGCTAAAGACAGATATTATTAGCACATGCTTTTCTTCCTTCCCATCCCATGCACTCAGCTGAAACGAAGGATTTTGCCACTAGAATCAGCTTCTGTAGGATGTTGCTTAAGCTAATAAAGAGTATGTTGTAATTCTCAACTGTTTCTTCTACGCAGCAGGTAGCACTACTTCAAATAGAGTATTAGTAAACATTGTGGGAGGCAAGATCTAGACCACCTGTTTCTAGGACATTTGTTCATATAATACTTTAAACGCTTTTAGGCCCATGTTTTCTAATGGCTTGTGGCATTGGGCACCTAAGATGAGATTGCTAGGAGCACCCTGAACTTCAACAAAGCAGAGCCTAGCAATCAAATTGGGCTCTCAAAGCACACCAATAACTGAAAAAGATGAGCCTTAATTTCCATGGCCAGACCCAGAGCTGTCACACTCTTTAGCCTAGAGCAGTGGTCTCCAGCGTTTTTACGCACGAGATCACTTTTTGAATTTAAGGGCAACCCAGGATCTACCCTGCTCCTTCCCCGCTCCCTCCATCCCCTCGGTCGCCCCCCACCCTCACTCACCTTCTCTGGGCTGGGGCTGAGGGGTTCGCAGTGTGGGAGGGGGCTCTGGGCTGAGCCTGCGGCAGATGCAGGAGGGGTGCAAGCTCTGGGAGGCAGTTTGGGTGTAGGAAGGGGCTCTGGGCTGGGGCACGTTGGGGTGCAGGGAGGTATGGGCTCTGGGAGGGAGTTTGGGTGCAGGAGGGGGTATGAGGTGCTGGCTCTGGGAGGGGGCTCAGGGCTGGGGGTGCAGGAGGGGGTATTGGGGGCTGGCTCTGGGAGGCTGCAGGTTGGGTGGGGAAGAGAAATGCTGGTCCATACTACACCTGGTCTTAATGCTACAGAGCCATTCAGAACCTGGCCATTGAAGGGGGGGGCACTTACCTCAGGCAGCCGTGACCCCACGCCGCTCCTGGAAGGGACCAACATGGCTCCAAGGGCTACCCCTCTCTGCAGGCACCCTGCGCAGTTCCCTGTTCCCGGACAATGGGAGCTGTAGGAGCAGTGCTTGCAGGCAGGAGCAGTGCGCGGAAACCCCTGCTCCCCAGGGCCGGTGCTACCATTTAGGCAAGCTAGGCGGTTGTCTAGGGCGCCAAGATTTGGGGGCGCCAAAAAGTGGTGCCCCCAATTTTTATTTTTTACAGCGTTCCTACACCCCCTCCCCGAGCGTACGGTCGCCGCTCCACTTCTCTGGCCTCCCAGGCTTGCAGCGCCAATCATCTGTTTAGTGCCGCAAGCCTGGGAGGTGAGGAGAATTAGAGCGGGGGCGGCGTACTTGGGGAGGAGGTGGAGCAGAGATGAGCAGGGGTGGGGAGCTGCCGCAAGGCTCCCCGGCGGGGGGCACCTCAGGACAGAGGGCGGGGAGCTGCCGCAGGGCTGGGGGGGTGGGGCTCAAGGTGGAAGTTTCGCCTAGGGCACGAAACTTCCTTGCACCAGCCCTGCTGCTCCCCCTCCCCCGGGGCCACACTTGGCAGCTTGCGAAGATCATAACTGACAGAGGCTCCAGGACTGACCAGTCAATCGCAATCGCCGGGTTGGTGAGCACTGGCACAGAGAGTCTATCTTGCTAATATTGGACAGTCACTTGTTGCTGCACTTACCTGTGCAATGGGAAACATACACAGGTTTTCTGCTATAAGAGTCAATGCATCTAATGGCATAGGACAGTCCAGGGGTGCACTGCATACACAGTTGGTGAGTGGAGACAGAAAATAGCCAGAAAAAGGTGAAGAGAGACTTTCCCAAACTTACAGCTTTAGATATACTGGTTTGAAGGGGAGGAACATACAATACTTTAGCAATTTTCTTCTTTTAGAACCACACTTGAAAAGCAAAGGCCATTCAAAGAAAGGCTCTCTCCTAACCCAACAGAAACGTGCATTGGTTTTAATAAAGGAATTGAGGAGGGAGGAATTAAGCCCCTCTACTTGGATACAGAGCCACTGAGGATGTTTTCAGCATCAGGTGGCCCTTGTCAATAGTAGACTAGTAAGGGGAGGAGGGGGAGCACATTTTATAAGTAATATATTACAATGAGTGAGAGTTTAGCAATGGTTCCTTTCACTAGTATATGCAGAGCTGCAGTACAGTCTGTTCAGTTATGCAACTACAGCACCCTGCCTGTAGAAGCAGGGCCCCTGGAACTGGCACGAGCAGCAATGCCTTGGCTAATTTATAACCCTATTCAACAGTTACATCGCTTAGCCATGGAAAGGGAAAGCAATTTTACAATCTGCAGGTTAAATACGAAGATCCTCTTGCTAGAAAGTTAAAACCCGAGTGACGACAAGGGCAAGGATTTTAAATTTAATTAAACTTTATTACAGTGCACATTATTTTTAATATATATTTATATAGAGATGTACTTGAAAAATCAAATGTATCCAATAATAAAAAATACAGCACATTAAAGTAGTATAATGCATTCCAGTGTATAGCTGAAGAGACATTGGGATTTCAGAAAAAACTTCTGAGAAATTACATGACTCCCTACCATTTTAGAACTGGGCTACTTATTTTCAAAATTCACATCAACCAGTAACTGAAATATTTATTAAAAAGATGGATTTTGCACTCAAAATCTCAAGGCGTGAAGACACTGGGGCCTTCAACATAAGTTTTATTCAGGGGCCGTGTTCAACCCTGGCAGGCACAGTGTGGTTTAGTATTTCCCTGCCATACCGATATACGTAATCCCCTCTGGCAAAACCAGGCCCCTTCCTGGACCAAGAGGAGAGCTCCATCCTCCTGCTCACTTAATCCTCAGCTGTAGTCCTGGAGGAACTGCCTTTTGCTGGGGCAAGGGGAAATGAAGTGATTCAGGCTGTGATTGTTTCCCCCAATGCACCTCAACCCTGCTCTGCAGTTAGTAAGGGGAATTCAGTCACCCTGCGCTCATAGCCAAAACTCTCCCCCTCCACCGTTCTGGCAATAGGGCTACCATGCCCCCCTCCCCACCCCAATATAGCCAGGGGCTGCCCTTTCCTGGGCTGAAGAGTCGTTTGGCCTTCCTGCTCATTAGATCCTTTGTTCTGTAAGCATGCCAAACCGTACTGTGATCTGACCCAACTGCTACATTCAGGGAGCCATATCCCTGAGAGGAGGAGTGTGGTCCTCGCCCAGGGGAACAAACCAAACCTTTAAACTAGGATTATTTTCCCTTGGTCTCTATACAGCTAGAGCGGACAGTATGGCCACCCCCCGCAGTCAGCTGCAGCCAACACGTGCCAGTGCGGGCACTGGTGCTATCTTGTTTAATTCCAGCCAGCACCCACCTAGGGAAAGGTTTCCCCTCCATGTAGTCTGTTGCAGAGCTTGCCAGGATGTTTGTACTTTGACCACAGATGATTTTTTTCTTCCTGGCTTGGAGCAGGTGGTGGTGCTGTGCATGCAACACTTTCACACCGTTTGCAGACTGGGGGAAGGGAATCAAAGGGAGCAGAAGATTGGGAAAAGGGACTGAGCAACTCCTTTGTGCATCCACCCTTCGTCCTGGGAATTTCATTCTGCTTTTTTCAGAAAAATCTGCAAAGATAGAATGGGGAAGAATAAGAGAAAGGAAGCAAAAGGCCTCAGGGTAGGGCACTTTCTCAGGTACAAAACTTCCAGGCAGTCCCCCCGCTAGCAGGGAGAGAGGACACAAGGGTGAAGACACCTATGAAGGGTATTAGAATGAGGTTGGTTTTTTTTTTTGCTAATTTGTTGCTGACAAGACACCATCTTGAGGGGATACCAGAAGATCACGTGACTGCAGCCTGCGACTAGTCTTCAAAGGGTTGGTCTCCACACCCCTTACTTAGCGATGCTGGTGTAGGGATCAGCAAGCAAGGTGACAGCCCCATTTGCAGGACACAAATGATGTTAGAGGGCAGAAAAACCCAAATCCCCTGACCCTCAGGCTATTAAAACTGTGGTGGGTTTGAAGGGACACTATCAAGAATTTAATTAAATGTTTAAAAAATACTTGGGATGTTTAAACATTCCTTGTACAAGCCCATTTTCTCCCTTCTCAGCTGTCTGGCCAGTAGAGTAAGGGGCAAGCACCTATTCCTTTCTCCAAAGGACTGGGTTTAACGACAGTCACATTACCAGGAAAGCACTTGCCCCAACTAGAGTAACAGTCCCTCTGTCCAACTCACTCGAACTCCACAGGTTCATCTCTATATTCAAAGTTCTGTACAAAATGCATTGCCACTTAGGGGCCTATCCTGCTCCCATGGACATCCAGGTGAGCTTTTCCATTAGCTTTCACGGCAGCAGGATTGTGCTTCTAAGACCAGGGACTCTGGATTCAACAGGATGAAAAGGCCACTCACCCTCCTCCCCTCTCCCTTCAAGGAGAACTCAAAATCCCCCCCACCCCTTTTACCCTGATATCTATTCCTCCAGCATGGGAAGAATTCAGGGGGTGGGGAGGGGTTCTGTCTGTTCCAGGCTGGTGGAGGGCGCTGTCCAGATCTAAGTTGCTTTTTTTAAGCCAGAAAAACAGGTTACCTCACTCAAGATGATCCACACTGGAGAATCAGTCTGGATGACCAGACGGATGGCTTCCAGAGGCCCAAATGAAGGGTCCACTTCTCCTTCTGCAACACCCTTAGAAAAGGAGCCTGATGGAGAAAAGCAGACAGGTCTGGGGTAGAATATCCTCCCAAGAGCAGCTGAGCTGTCCCTGAGGGCTCCCCCAACATCAAGCAGTCGCATTTTCAGTCTTGTTTTCCACTAGCTGCTACAGAGCACCAACCCAGGCCTTCGCTGGGAGCCTTTGATAGATATGGTCCTGTACAAACCAACCACTCTCACTCTTTAAGCAGCTGCCACATTTAAGTGTTGCTGACCACTGAACCTGTGAGAGGGTAACTACATATGCTCATTGTTTTTAGTTTGCACACAGCACCAAACTACCTGATTGATCCACTGCACTCTCTCAAATGAAAGGGACTCAGGGCATTGTGAGGTCAAATATAAGCCCTTCCCAGAACAGCAATACCTTTAAAAAAAAAGAAGTGATGCATCTCACAACCAAAGAAACTGGATTCAGAAGTCTAGAAATGCAGAGCCCTACATGGCCAGTAGGTGGCAGTGTTTCATAAATT